ATCACAGACCCCGACGACAAAGAGACGGCCGAATTGGACGCATCTTTGTCCTCATTTTATCCTTTTGGCGGAAAGGAAAGCGATTATATCGACACCATTGAGAAGATGAATGAGTACTGCAGGTAAGAAATTTTATCAATTGGTTTTGGTAAATATATTTGTGTTTTAAGACCTCTCAATATGAAACAATTCTCTTAAACAGTAAACTAGATTCTCGTTTGGAAGCGTTAAAGTCAACCTAATCTGCATTTATGTCCATATTATACTATCAAGTCCACAGCAAGTTAAATTAAGACCCGTTTTAGTTACTCTTCTTGCTGATGAAGACATTGAGTTGGCGTGTATTTCTCCTAATGTAGTGGAATATGAAGAAAGTAAAAGAGAATTCGGCAAAACTGGCGCCACTTAAAGAGAAACTGCTGGACACAACTGTCTTCATACAGAACTCGACCTATCAATTGCCTAAAATTGGAAGACTTTGTTGGTATGAATTTGATTGACATTTCTATTCATTAATTGTTTACAAAGAAGTGGCAATTAATTAATCAATTAATAAACAATGGACACAATTTTGCAGTTCGTTTTGGGAGTTCTATAGAGGCCTGAAGAATGAAGTGAAGAGCGGTCAAGGAGTAGACTTTGTGGTGGACATAACGTTTGACTACTTCGCGGGCGCATCCAAATACCTCTGTTTCCTCTATCCGTACGGTTCAGAGCTCTGTAAGGACGAGGAAAAGACACCGAAAATGGTTCACAAACACCAATCCATTGTATTGGAGACCTTATTAACGTTGGGAGAGATCGCCACTCCGTAGACCATTAGAACAAACTATTGTCAATAACACTATTTGTTAAACTATTTATTTTATTTATTAAGTTATGCGTTGAAATAAAATACAATTTAATTAATATTAGTTCACTACAAATAAGTTATTTAGTTATTGTCTAAGAGTTAACAAAAAATAAGAAAGGTTTAAATACAACACAAATCTAAGTGAGAAATATTTCAAGAATAATAAGAATTAAATTGTGTGTAAAATACGATAAGTGTTGAAATCACTTGTTCTGTGTTGCGTTGTGTTTGGCGCGTCTCATGCCTTCTCTAATGATAAGCAAATAGTGGATAATAATGACGACCAGAATGGCTGCGATCACCAACAGAACTGTCACTTACTTACCTGCAGTACTCATTCATCTTCTCAATGGTGTCGATATAATCGCTTTCCTTTCCGCCAAAAGGATAAAATGAGGACAAAGATGCGTCCAATTCGGCCGTCTCTTTGTCGTCGGGGTCTGTGATATAATAGTTAAGATTGTCGGTTATGTTCTTATAGACGCCCTCAGCATAGGCCGTCTCATTCCTCCAAATGGCCTTAAACTCATTGGTGAGGGTATGAAGAATCGCATATTGGCGTCGAATATTGCGGATGATATCGTTCTTCGCCTGTTCGAAGTTGATGGCAGTCTTCGGAGTAGTGATGGCAGCGGATGTTCCCGTATTCTCAGTTACCACGGGTTGAACCGCAGCCTGTGCTGCGACCTGTGGTGTCGCCTGTATTGTTGATGGCGCCGATGGTTGAGCTGAGGTGATTGTAGTGTTGGCCGCTACCAAACCTAATGATCAATTTAATTTTGTATTACATATTAATTTTTTTATTTCTATTAATTACCAGAAGCTATAAAAATCAACAGTAATTTATGAAGCATTTTAAAGTTTGTAATGAAATTGAAACAAAATGAATGGTTACTTTTTTTTAAATAACCAGACGTTTTTGCTTTTATTAAAATTTATTTAATTAACTTTATAAGTGTTTAATATTATATTTTTGTAATGTTTTTATAGTAAATTATGCCTACTTAAAATTAGATTTATTTAAATATTATTTTACAAAACCTTTTTTATATTTTGTAAAGTATTACACAATAAAAATATTGATGCCATAATGTATAGTTGTATATAAAGTTTACTATACTTGAATATTATTTTGTATATTTAGTAGAAATTTATTTATTTAATATTTAATATGATACATTTAATTTTAGTTGAGATTAAACATTGATAATTTAAATATCTAATTTTACGTTAATTTTATTTTATTCATCATGTTTATATTATATTATTCTTATTGTATAATTAATATTGTATTTTATAAAGTAAGTTACTGTTAAATGAACAAATTAAATTAGTGCTGCTTTAGTGACCCACTATTGTATGTGTGTTAAGATCGTTGCTATTGTGTTATATTTTTGCCATAAATCTAAGTATTGACACCAATATTGTATCGTATTTTATAAAACAAAATGTCACTAAAAAATCTTGTAAACTAAAAGTTTTAACAATAAAATAACTTTTATTAATACGCTATAAACCATGAATAGAATATAAAATATATAATTTTAGGAAATCATTAAACAAAAGTAATAACAAATGTATTTCTTCATAAATACTTTGATGTTTTATAACAAAAATTAACTTATATAACAGATAAGAGTTATTGTGTTATTATAAAAATGTTAGTCATTGTGTAGATGTAATGAATATTGGATTCAATTGTTAATGTGATTAAATTGAAAACTATTTATTAATTAAAGATAAATGTGAGACATGAATATCAGTTGAACAAATGACATAGATTTGCCGGTATTGTAAACTATTTATTCATTATTAATTAAAAATCAGCGCTCAATTGTGTAATTAAATAAAATTCAAAATACTTTGTAGGCAAACGATTTACATAATACTGTTTAGCAACAAGGTTATAATTTATAAGTACATTATTTGGTGTAAAGAATGCAAAATGCATATACAGAATGCACTCAAATGTACAAATGTTATAAAGTTATAAATACAGTAAATGCTGTAACAATAATTATTATTATTATTAAGTTGGAAAACTTTTTCTATAAAAGAACAAATATCTTATAAAGTCTGTTATAAATGATCATAATTTAAAGACTTTTCATTCAATAAAAAGTCTACTGATATATATATTTAATGGAAATAAACTTATAGGAAATTTCTTATTTAGTGTGGCATTTGATTCTGTGTGAAGAATACAATCATTAATCTCAATGACTAACAAATATTGGTTACAGACATCATAAGAGAGACAAATTGTGTCAAATAAAGTGGAGATTATATCACGCAATGGATGCGTAAAATACAGGCGCTGTCTTACAGGCGCTGTCCAGCATTCCATCGTTTAAGATATAGAGAGCAAAGCGATTGCATGTCTCCTCAAATCTGTTAAACGGCGATAAATTCAATGCAAACAAAGTGTGTTGTTTTGTGATATCCTTTTATAAGAGCACATGAAGTGAAATACACAAATACCTAAACAAACATTTACAACAATATCTATGAATAACAAAATCATATGAATATTAAAATCTCTGACAAATCTAATCATAATTTGAATGGAAAGCAATTTTCTTGAAAAATTACTATATCTGTCAACAAAACAATTCCCGCATTAAAATTGCAATAAATACCGATATTGTATGCGAAGGAATGCTTGAATTAAAAGTGTGATTACTATTTAAGTCTAATGTGCAACAAAACAGTACAAAATAGACTTATTATCGCTTATAGTTATTGATTAGCACATAATTGGGATTTATAATTACTTATTGTAATTAAGTTTATTAATTAAGTCAACTAAATCATCTCATAGTTCACCTTATTACTATGAGCAAATATTCTGTGTAATTCCGTGAAGTACCCTATTGTATTTTGAATTTAAAATAGTTCAAACTTGCAGCAATCAATCAATGAGGGTACAATGTTGTACATATTACAATACCTAGTAATTACTGCTATAATTGTTATAAAATAACACTTTCGTTGTGTTACTGTTATAGAACTAAAGTCCTAGAAGTTCTCTACAAGAGCTACCTTTCACTCTCACTGTCAGTATAACAGTCAACACTTACTGTCTTTAAATAGTATTTAATTAATATATCAGTTGTGCTTAACTTGTGATACAGTGCCCTAAATATGATACAACACTTTATTTCGGTAGACTTTAGTGTACTTAAAACACACTTATCATCGTTTGCTAAGATCTCTAGTTATTTATTCAGTAATCTTTTATTTAAAAATATGTTTTTCATGCCGTAAATCATTAATAAATGTTAGTTTTTTAGCCAAGGAATTGAATTTCACGGACCAGTTATTGATTGGTACAACAAATATGATTTATATTTTATATTTCAAGTTTGTAATTAATATTAAACAATCAATTAATTATACTATGATTTTTATTGATAGACAATCGTATCGTTCACTCGTTGGCATTGAAATGTGTAGAAATTATAGACTTTATTCTTATCGATAATTATATTGTTTTTGAAACAAATGAATCTCAATGATTAAAAATAACAATTAGTTGTCCGGTTATACATTAGTTCACAGATTTAGACCTAATCCATGGTTAACAATAACGGGTCAATAGATTCTTAGACAATACAACAAACATATCTATCATATAATATGTATAGTCTTTTATAACCCACAGTAACCTCTCATTTCATGGCCAGTCGTACGACAATTATTTTGCTAAATATAATTACAACATCTAATTATTATGCAATACATCTATGATTAAGCGCCGGAATGCACATCAGATGTCGAGGAATACACATATGATTACCACTAATTGGAAATAAATGTATAATTATTTTAATTTTAATAGCAATCAAATTAGTCATTCGTTTGCTTTTAATGCAGTAATTAATCTGAAAACTCAGTCAACAATCACATGAGAGGCAATGTTGTCGTATTTCTTAGACTTCCTATTGATTTAAAAGCAATAATATTTGTAATTTGTTGATAAATTAATTGCTCATATATTTATGATTCATACTGTAATTTATTTCTATGTAATTAAATCCTATTTGATTTTGTTGCGATTTCAATACATGTAACAAATGCTGTGAAATTGTAAAATCAATATAGATTTCAATAGTGTTACATAACGTGTTCTGTACGTGATTTAACCGCTCTTATGGTCTCAAGTGATGAGTGAATATGAAAACAAATAATTATCCCAATTATCTTATCTTTTGATATAATTATAATTTGATAGTAAATAGACGTCTTTCCACTCATATTATCGCCCAAATGGTGGCAAACAATGTGTTTGTCAGGCAATCAGTTGCGGACCACTTCAATACCTATTGTTAGCGTCAATTGACTGCACTTTGATTTTTGAGACCGCACTAAAAGGTTATGTTCAATCAATTGAGATCTCATTTAACCATCGTCATTTTTAAAACAAATCATCAACACCTTTGCCCTCCGCTGTCTTCAATATACAGCTACTGTATTGTCAAGAATTTCAATTTCATTAAGATTTTTAATAAACTCATTAAATATTCCATTGAGATCTGATCCAAATTGATTTAATTCAATTTAGAAAAAATGATCAGGTTTTTAAATTATTTTTAAGATTATATATGTAAAGATAAGATGCTAAAATTCTATGGCTTTGGAATGTATTTATGCTAAAATCCATGTTTTCCTTAGAATCATCTAGCTAAGAATGTTTGTGTTATTAATTTAATTTATAGTCTTTTAAATTACTTTAATATTTGAGCACTTTTTTTTAATCAAAAGACTATTTTGATAAATAAATAAGTTTTCAGCAATGAGTTGTACTAATTGTTATATGGTACATTTATCTTGTAATAAACACCGTGAATGTATTTTACTTGATGCAATCGTACTTGCTGATATTGATTTAAATAAAATATGGCAAATAAACTGAATTAATGAGAAATATATTGCATTTTAATTATGCTTTGTTTATTATTCAACAGATCTGAAGAGAAATAATAATTTTTAGGTCATTATTATATTATGTGAATAATTGTTTGCTCACTTTTATTGCATTTACAATAAAAACTTGGTCTAAACTTTTCAATAATCTCTAAAACTATTTGATAACATATCCAAACTCTTCACATTTAGTGGGGTTTGAGGGGTATAGAGGTTTACAAATAGATTACCGTAATTATTGCTGATCTAGATTCTTTAATAGCTTAGTAATGTTTATAATAAGTAGTTTAGTAAAGAAAGTCACTACCAATTAGTATGCAATGAGAGTTAGTATTTCATAATACAGTTGTAGTTATCCGGAATGTTTTCCCATAATATCCATCATAATTTCCTTATTTATAAATTATAATATACATCAAGTTATTTATTTTTAATTAAAATTACAAACAATTTTCTACTTTCTTAATGTTATTTGTGGTGAATGTTGTTCTGAAGCAATAAATAATTTCTGTGTGTTTTCTAACTCACAAATCATGATTTATTGTAAAAAATTTTCAATGAATACAATGAATAACAAAAATTAATTATGATTATTTACAGAGAGTTTGTATCGCAAACAATGTTTTATTTTTATTACTAAATAAAGAATAAATAAAAGTTTTATTTTTATATTCCATGTAATAATTGCCGAGACATGAGTCAAACGAGACGGACTTTGAGCTATAATTTTCCTCTAAATATAAAAATTGTCTTATTTTTGCTTATATTTAATGCTCATAAATGTGTAATCAGGGTCAGTGAGCATTATTGCCATTAAACTGGCACATGCGATTTGGTATTTGATTATGGTGATTTATCCATTTGCACAGCAAGTTTAGCGCCACTGTTGGCGATCCCCTATACTTTACGGTACGAGTGCTTAAACGATAACCTCTGGGATGTAATGTGAGGGACGTTTGTCACCCAAAATAGAGTCGCGAAAAACAATTGAATT